TTTAGTCCTCACGTTTGAAATGGAGTGTGACAATCCAGCATGGAGATTTTTTTGCGACTTGGTGGGCAAAGTTGAATTGCAGGCGCTGGAGTCAAAAGGTGATAGGGGCGATGAAGATCAAATCGGGCCGCAATGCGATGTCCCGTGTGTGTTGTCTTATTTTGTGCTGTGATTCCTTTATACTTGACACTTGTTGCTAGCTCTTTGCTTGTGTTTGAATACTCTCTAGTCTTGCTTCTTTATGCGCGTCAGTGTAGGGGTGACGCTGGTTTTTGAAGTACTTTTACTTCTGTATGTTGTCGATAATGCCGTTGGACTTGATCACCGGCCGACCTATCTTTGTTTCTCTCATGATAAGACTGGAGTGATGACCAGTGTACCATGAGAGTCTTCTTGCGGTGATGACAGGTTAGGTTGCCCATATTCCATAGCTAGTAGGGCTGGAGTAGCTTAGTATGAGCACGACTCAGGTGCGGATTTGGCTACTTGGTTGGGATTTGACAACGGTGGCAGTTGGGAAGTTGGTCATTACAGAGCAGTTTGGTGATCTTGTCAGGGATTGGAGTGGATTTACGCGGAGTGGATTGAGGTATCGGCTACATTTACCTATCTTATTAGTTGATGAGGAGTACCAAGGTGTTACAAACATCAAATCTTCTGCCGATATTGTCAAGTGTCACAATCTAGTTGATTTGGAACATGAACGAGATGTACAAGACCATGAAGGGTCCACGACGGTGCTGGTGCAGTCGACACCATTGAATTAGATGACTTTATTCAGAAGTTTGATACGTGTTATGATATGCAATTTTTGCGTAATCTCACATTGTTCACATCCTTCTTTGCTTGGAAGGGATTGTTCCAACATGCATACTAGTCCCAACGCTACATGCTCGACTCAAGGAACTGAACGTACTTAAAGTATCCTCGACTCTATATCTTTTGATCCCTAATCCTAAGCCGACATTAAAAATAGTAAATATAAAAATATGTGACAGTTGTTGTGCTAATATATATCGCCATACACTCTACATCGTTGACATGCTACTCACACACACATAGAACATAAGAGCATACACAATGAAATGTATCATAATTTGCCCTCCTGGTTGGCGGTCAGGTACCTCAAACTCCCAGGTAGATTTATCTACAACTATATGCTATACACTTTCATGGGTGTGTGAACCAATAGGCCGAGTGCTATGTCGCCCCATTGATAGTTGCATATCTGCAATTCATAACATGTGAAGATCAAGTCATCTACCACTCCGAAGTACATTGAGAACAAACTCATCGTCCAACTAGAACAACATTGATAGGTGGAGTTCGACACAACAAGTGTCATCCTCTACAACATCTATCACACATCAACATACGGCCGCCTAACTAGTTGATACACATAACATGCACCTCAAGCCAGCACATACTATTGCCAAGCTTGGATGCATAAATCATCCACGTTTGGAAGCTGGCATGATGCACAGTTGCGCACATGGTACTTTCAAACAACACCATCACAAAACTCCAACATGAGAACTCTAGAAGATAACATCTCCCGCACTCGCAAGATAGTACGTCCCTCCGTCACATCCAATTTTGTTGATGCAGTATGTTGTAGATAGACGTATTCCTCCATAGGGAACTTAAGAATCAATGATCGATTACCTACTTCCCTGATGGTTGCATACCGCAACATATCTCTATGCCGAGCAATCGCCAGATTCTCAAACGCTGCAGGCATGACTCTCCGAAAGAGTTTTGCACGTTGAAAAGACAAATTATCAACTCTTTTATTTGAAGGTTGAATTTCTTGTAGATAGTCACCACATCCGTTGTGTCTGCATGTGTCATATCTTGCTATTCTAGACTTAGTAGACGCCATTTTGTTGAATACTCAAAATTGTAGTTTGTATTGTTGAAATGAAACTACTTTTTTTCACACATCTATTCCTCTTCAGACTACTATTTATTTTGGCGAGGGTGCCAAAACACTTTTTCAAAACTTGAAACTCAATCTTGCTGGACAGTGCACTCACTAAATTCTCAGCTCTCCTTTGTTAACCATCCAAGCTCAAGAAGAGACCACCTTCGTACCTTCCTAAAAACGTTTTGGATGAAGTCATTTCATGAATTCTTCTATTCACAAATTGTGCTTCTCCTCGGGCAACAACATAACTCGAAAATGATCCAACAAGTTACGATCGCTATCCTCAATATGCTCTGCTGTGTTTGGACTTGCTTTGGGACCTCGTTCGCAAGATCTCAAAAGATCAGGGATTAGAGATAAATAGCATTGATATTTGAGCACCAAAAGCGCCAATCTAGTTGTGATTGGCCTTGACATCTAGGCTTATCAGCACTCCCTTCTAATACAATTAGACTGTATGAAACACTCCAGTATTAATTTTGACAAAGAAAATTACAAGAACCAAAAAACACTGGATAATCAAAATTGCACGCAATACTATGGTATGCTCCACAAAAACACACCACACAAGATGATTTTATATAAACTCTGTTGATGAAGGAAGTTATTGTTTTGTCTTTTAATAACTCATACACATCTACTTCAACAATTGGTTTATCTCTCGATTTCTGCTTTGTTTCACGTCAACTCAAGGTAGAAAGCTAGTTTTCATCGAATATATTATAAAACATCACAAAGTTGCAAACTTTAATGTTTATCTTCCGTCAACATAACCAACAACACTTCTGACATGAATTGACTCTAACAATTTATACAGTCAAGAAATTGAAATTAAAAAATGATGATGATATGTGTTATCTAAAGTAATAATATAATAATAATATATATAATTTAATAATAATTATTATTATTAATTTTCTTTTGTTTATAGATTTTTTTTGAGATTAATGATATTAACAGTGGCGGAGCCGGGGTGCCATGGCCTGCCTAGATGCGGGGACATTTGCTCATGTAAAACCCTTATCCGAGGTAACATGAGCCGGAATCGATAGTTCTTGCAACAAATATGTGCCACGGACTTGATCGGTTGATGACTAGTTCATTCTCTTTTTGTTCCTATTGGTCCTAACTTTTCAGCTCTCTACTCGCCATGTCTAGTCCGCCTCTTCCAAAGAGTCGTGGATTAAAAGTCTGGCCCCTCTTTGCCCGAAATCCTGGCCCCACCACTGGATATCGATATTAGAATTAGAGATTTCAAGATATATATTGAGAGTATAATAATTAGAAGTCAACTCTGGCTTTTAGTTAGTTTAATTGGTTTGACTATGATTAGATAGACTAGATTGATTGCGGAGAGCTGGAGAAAGCTTTCTGCAATACAAACCGTTGAGGTAGTGTCGAAGAGATAAATCACATGTTTTTGGTGTTGATATTTAACTTGCATTACGTATTAGATTTAATATACTTACATATATATTATTGCAAGAATATGGTCTAAATATTATTAATTTATAAACTACAACATAAATATGCAAAGTTTTAAAAATAATATAAACCAATTGAATATATCCAATTTTTAATTTTAATTTTTTCTTGAATTATTTGTATGCGTTCTTCCTGTATTTTTAACCTGTCTATCTATCAACTCATAAATATAGAATCAATTAGTACGAAAATTTGTCCCAAAAATATATAATTGGAAAGTAAACTATCACCAAATAAATTTTTATTTTAAAAAAGGATTTATCACTTCCTTTCTCACAAAAATAAAATTTTGTACTTACTTGAAGGAAAAAACTACCCTAATGATGGTGGCAAAATTTCTAGTAAGAGATGAAGAACATTTAGTCTAAGTCTTGTAGGCCCAATCCAATTTGTTTTTACCTACAACGGGGTTGGACCTCCAATATAGGTTATTATTCAAGAGATGCCCCAGTCACTGAACGAGTGATGGAGAGTGAATTTTCAAAAGACTAATGTTACTGAATAGTTGGCTCACACTCTAGAGACCAAGATCATGGAGGGTTTTGAATTGAATGGGTTTGTGATGTACTCGTTATCTTCTTGTTGGCATGGATGTCGATCTCATGATTTTACAATATCAACTTGTCGTGAAGCTCAGATATCTAACTTCCGTGGCTATCCTTGAGTTGTCTCAAAGTAGCCGTGACGGATCCAACGTTCGAGTTGCTATAGTGAAGGTTCAATTCGAGTTCCTCCAATAGAGATTTTTAAAAGTGTCGCAAGCAGGGAAAGTTTGTGTAGGATGATGTCAACGAATTTCTCTAGTCAACATGTGGCAGCATCTAATGCAGACTCTCGGAGGAAAATTGTGGTAACAACTTGTTATACTCATGGATAGACAAAAACTTGAAAGGAAAGGAGAGAGTGATTTAGGGATAAGTGGTACAATGCTCGAGGGGTTAAGGACCTTTGTCCGCACTTAAGGAAGTGAATGAAACACTCCGTCATATCAATGATAAACACTGTTATCATAGCGTATTTTGTAATGATGATGTCTACACAAAACTCTCTTGACGATTGGTACCTGGTACACAGATGACCTTTATGAGTCGTTCAGGTTCCGTGTTGTGTGTAGACTGAAGGAGAGTGATTATTCCGTATTCTACTTTTCCAACCGTTATCCTATCGGCTCAGAAATAGGCATGCATTGAAAAGAATACGCGGTAACAATATACGCTCATGTGTTTGACTCGAAAGTGCAAAAGGAAGCAACTTTCGAAGTCGTGACGGGAATCTTCGACTGAGGATCATTTATTAATTGCTGTAAGTGACGATTATAGGCAATTGGTAAATGAAAGAGAGACTTTGAAAACGTCTAACCTTTTGTACACTTCTTGAGCCCAGCTTTAAAAACATTTATATCATAATATACTCTTTATAAAGTACGAAAAATGTTAAGCCTCAGTTCAAAGAGGTCCTGCGACGCAGATACAATACTCAAGGCGGAAGTGTATCGACGTATGTTCCAAAGTTAGAAACGTTCTGAAGAGCAATGTTGCAAAAGGAATGATAAGGTGTGTCAAAAAAATTCCCGCAAGGGAATGATAATACTGCCCGTATGACTCGGATGCTTTTTACTGTCATGAAGTGGTGGCAAAAATCCACCAAATGCTGACTTACAGGAAAAACTTCCCACAAACCAAACTTGTAAATTCCCGTTACATAGGTTAAATATGCGTTTTTCTGTGGCAACAGAGTGATGCAAGGTGGTTCGTAACTTCAGAAATGCAGTAAGATACAGAGCATGTATATAAAGCACTGGACGTAGTTCCGTTAATAGAGGATGACAGTGCTTGAACAATTTTGTAACCGTAACTTATCTAGCAATAACGAGAAGATGTAATAAGATCAATCGTATTCCTCTCCTCTTCCTGATAGTAGCCAGCCTAAACTTACAGATAGTTAAACTTACACATTTCTCCAATTTGTGACGTAGCTACAAAACTTTAATACTTTCGTCGCCGAATTCCAAATAACCCCCCTTTAAATTTTTGCAATCAAGGTCATAGAGATTAAAGTGTAGTTATCAAGAAGTCTGACCCTCCATGTACAACTCTTTACTTGTGTGACTTCAAATGTGCATTTTAGTTTGCAGATTCTACTTTTTCGGCTTCAAAATCTGCTTGTCAACCTGGACAAGATCATCTCTATCGGACTTGGAGTTGAAAGCTGCTCAACGACACATCCAGGAGATGATTCACAAATCAGTTCGTTGTGTGATTGATCAACAATAGTTATATCTAAATATTTTAGTTCCTTAATTGCAGACTATATTACTAATGCCACCTGAGAGCTGCCAATTGCTGCTCTACCGAAACGATTCACAGGCAATATTATCAATGAAGGATTTACACAAGGTTTTTGAAAAAACCGTTTTAGGGCCTAAAATCCCTATCCTTCATCTTTTTACGCAGTTACCTGGATGCCATCTCAACAATTTCTATGATTTAACATAAACTCTCTTGATGAAGCATGCTATGGATTTGACTTTTGACGACTCATACACATCTACTTCAAACATTGGCTTATATCTTGGTTTCTGCTTTGTTTCAGGTCAAAGAAAAACGGATATGGGGAGCTGCATGGCAAGACATACCTACCGAATACTGAGCGGTCGTCCTGCCGATTTAGCAGGCGAGGTAAACTGCACCAATCGATCCCGACCCAGCCAGCCAAAGTCCAATTCAAGAAAGGGTATATGTCTCACTCTAAAAGAGTGTGCCAAGAACGATAAGATAATTGTATGGTCCTAACCAGTTACAGTTGTCAGATTTGAGTACATGAAGATAAATGAAGGTTTAAGTACATGAAGGTCATTAGGAACATTTAGAGTAGTAAAGGTTCGTGGCAAATACGAGATGATCTCTTGGTGTTCGTATAAATTCAATATCCATCTGTTTCAAAAGGACTACAAGAATTCCACAGATGCTAGATAAACTAAACAACAACACTTTCGCCACATTCAAAGCAACATAATTTGTAGCTGGAAATCATTACTGGTTTCCAATGACATTGCATATTTAGATAAATGAACTGTACATTTGCAAGAGTCATCCAACTCTTCTAAGACGTAGTTGAGCAGATCGACCTATCCCTGTGACTCCCGGTTAGCGACCTTGGCGGGTACGCAAGGAGGACCATAACAAAAAAACTTTGTTCAAACAAAATTTCTCTCCTTGTGTTTCCCTTTGTGAGTGAACCACAATCAGTCTACAAGATGGAAAGGTAAGATTGTCACTTGACTTTGTGCTTGCCATCGTCAAACTGAGCATTGTGCGACGACTTGAAGGTTTCCAAAAATGCTTTCGCCAACTGCACTTCCTGCTTCTTCCGCCATTTATCCCATTTATGCTCTGCTGCAAGAATCTCAATAACTCGCGGCAAAGCTCTACCGGCAGCATCTGTGTCTAAAAACGCTAACCTGCAGCGCCGAGCTATGAAATCAACAGCTGACTCACAGTACTCGTAACGAGCACAGTAAGCAACCTCTGCTTCCAAAACCGGATAACCATGTGCTAAACGCTTGCCTAGTCCTTCCATCTGCCCCATTCAGCCCACATCCGGCCACTTGATCAGAACTAAAGATCTCTATTTGATTACATCTTTATTAAGCTCACATGAAATGCACGATTTGTTTCGTTAACTTTTCCCGTCCAGGAAACACACGCAATAAAATAGATGTTGACGTAAATCTCCCGTACTGATCGAAACTAACTGCAACGAAGTTATTAAACGGCGTGATGTTGATGATGTCATTCACTCACTCAAATAACAGACCTGAGCAATAAGAGCAACACGCTGAGCCATGCCTCCATATGAATGTACAAGATGTTTGGCTGCTGCAGTGTCAAAAGCTCCTGGAACAATCTTTCCTCCGTGTGTTCGTTTCATGCGGACATATTGCTGAGTAAGTATCGTGAAGTATGAGGGGTCAAATCCATCAGCTCCGATCAAAGCCAAATGTTCAGTTACACAACCACGTTGTGGCTGTAACTTTCCCACTTGGATAGCTGCATCGACTGCATCTTCAGCCATACTGTAAAATAGACAAACTCGTTACATTCTTATTGTGCTCTGATCTTATTGTGATCATAAAACCTGCCGCCAGACTGAGCGGTGCTAACATGTACATAATCGGTCCGGTGAATAGGGATAATCGCAGATGGGAGAATAGAGAAGACAATTTAAAAGTGAGATCTCTAGTACTGCTTTAAGGCTACTGTATACTTTAAGCAGCTTGGACTCCAACAGCAGAGCGATATCAAGAAACAGAAAATTTAAGAGATTGAACAGTACTCCATTCATGTAAAATCTGATCTAAAAGATCCCTTCAAAATCAGGAAGAAAAGCAAACTGTTCTAAAAAGCGGTCTTATGTCATCCTGGGTTCTCCCTTGACTTCGAGCTCCATTTAGTCATTACTGATCGTATCTGATAAACACTGGCAGTAATGACAAAAAAGGTTCACATATATTGGAGAAACAGTTACGAGTCGTTAGCCAAGCAAAGCTTTGGCACTTGATCGATTGAATGTAGAGAATATATGATTACCTTCTATAGGTTGTCCATTTGCCTCCCGTGATAGTTACTAGACCGTGGTCATCTGTAACTACCACATGATCTCTGGATATGCTGGCGGTGTCTTTGGCAGTCGGATCACTGGCTAATGGGCGTATTCCACTCCAGGCAGAGAGAACATCTGTTCTTCGAACCTAAAGACGTCGAGAAACGTCAAGAAAAAGAAATATGGTCATGACTCTCTGAAGGAACATAACCGGCATATGGACTAGGACAACCAAAGTGAAGAGCTGAAACGTGGAAGCTCTCAGCACCCAACGTGACAAACTCATGAAACGTGAATAATGAGAACAGGAACTTACCTTGATGCAGAGGTAATCACTGATAGCATCTAAAATGAACTGGATTTCTTCCTCGTGAGGTTCAGGCAGCATAGTTATGGGAGTAACAGAGTCTGTTGTCCCAGCTACAGTCCTGCCCATCCAGGGGAGCATGAAGACAACGCGACCATCCTTAGTTTTAGGTACGATGAGACCCATCGCCTCCGGTGAGTAGTAGTCCGGGAGTACAATATGCACACCACTGCTCGGAGCAATCATCGAAAGTGCCTTCTCGTCAGACAATTTCCTCACTTCATCGCAGAAGGGTCCAGCTGCGTTCACAACCACCTTGGCATAAACATCAAATTCTTTACCTGTCAAGTTGTTACGAATCCGAGCACCGATTACTTTTCCTGTAACTTCATCTTTGTAAAGGGTAATTGCCTCTGCATGGTTGAGAACTGATGCCCCAGCTAAAGATGCTGTGCAAGCCAAAGCTACATTGAGACGTGAGTCATTCATCTGTCCATCGTAGTAGACCAATGTCCCCTTCAACGACTTCCCTTCAGGATTCCCCTTTGACAAAGTAGGAAACACTTCTAGCGACTCCCGAGCAGAAAAAAATCTGGAGATATGAAGCATATGTCGACCAGCCACGAGATCATATAGCTTAAAACCAGCCCAGTAGTAGGGAATCTGCCACCATTCATAACATGGTGTCATAGTGGGAAGTGGATTGCACAGATGCGGTGCATTTTCAAGTATATTGGCCCTCTCCTCCAATGCATGGAAGACCAACTTTAACTGCCCATAATCCAGCTGAAACACAGCTTTCTCCAAGTATCTGACTCCTGTTTCACATGTAGTGCACAAGATTCAGTGTCCTGTAGGCCATAGAAATACACACCAATAATGGTTGATACAAATACAAACTTGCGTTACTATTTTCTTATACTTGACTGTGAAAGTTGTATACCCGCAGTGTAAAAACAGCTGTTGATCCAAGCTACTAAAGAGGTTTGCTTGGAAACAATGGAACGAGATGCACTCTTCCGAACATTTCCCACTAGTCCTAAGGCATGCTAGGGAATGATGAAGCTAGCTATCATAATTACGGTGAAAGAAAACCAAAAATTGAAACAGGACTTAAGATAAAACAGACGAAAAGGACAAATTCTCCGACAGCTGAATCAACAACACTCGTTCAGTACTTCTACTCAATTACAAACAGCTGATGCACGTACGGATAAGTATTGGGCATATTGTCTGCTTCGACACTCCAAATCCTGAAAGCTGAAATCGACATTCAAAACCTACAAAATGCTCTATATCCCGACGTGGTTGGAATAGGGTACGCAGACAGGAAACTAGTTTATAAAACATGGTATTCTCCAACTTCTCTAAAAGTAGTACTTATTGATTATGTTTCTGCCATAAATGTCACCTCCGTGGACAAGTTTCGTTGAGCGCGACGAGGTGCCAGCAGCAAAATCTTCCCGTTCCACAAGCCCAACACGAAGACCACGTGTGGCTGCATCTAAAGCAGCACCACAGCCCGTTGCTCCACCCCCGATCACCAACATATCCAGTGGATTAGTTCGACTCGTTCCCTTCAGAGCTGCCTGCCAGTTCAAATCTAGCATTCATAAGATTTCTTCATAAAACTGGAATCCGGAAACCCCGTAAATCGAAGCTGCATACTCTAGAGCACACCCTGAAGTAACTATGCAATTAAAATTTGTGAAAAAAGGAAATGGTATATTGAGTCAGATCGTAACCATTTGCAACTGCTAGTTACCGTCGAGCTGTTCGGAAACAAACAAACAGGAGACACAATCTTCAAATTGAGTTCACAGTTTGCCATCATGCTAAGATTAAAACCTTCAGGTAAGCTTTTGCCCATCCCATTATCTGGCCTTCTATGGTCGCTCAAATCTCTCGCAATATTTTCATTTATTTATTTACATACCTCCTGTGATGCTCTGTCTGGGACTTTCCAACCAGCCGCTTCCATTTTATGCCTCACACTAACAGCATCCCCCCTTTCTTTCCCGAATATGCTACTGCTATTGTACGCCAGACTCATTCCACCGCCCGTGGCAGCCATCACGGCTGCCCGTAGGGCCAATCGACCAGTTTGTGAGCGACCCATCGTCGCTTGAATTCAGACCCACCCCCAACAATGATCAATCGATACGGGGGTCAGAAGCAGACATCAATTCTGCTTCTGAACAAATGCCCCATCGGATGACCGCTCACTGGATCCTCCGCTCCGCCGACGCCATTATTCAACCGAATTTCAGCCCGACCCATCCCATCTGTAGAACCCGATGTCAACAAACCGACGACAATTCAGCCAATGACGACAGTCAACTTCAACAAACGCCCCAAAATAGCACCAACTCCACAGATTCAGGAAGGCTGATGGATTACGGATCACGGACGCATTGAAACACAGCGGGATTTCGAATCAAGATAAACTCTTCGGCACGTCCGCTGCGGAATCACTCACCGCAGCAAAGAAATGTATTCTTCCACACTCAGAGGCAGGCTGAAGGCCAAAGCATGCAGCGGAACATCAAGACGAACGTCGTGTCGATCAATCAATCTTCCAATTCAATTACCGCCAAGTTATCACAGACTCCTGCGACGATCTAATGCAAGCAGTGGAAGAGGACTCTGTAGAATGACGGACGAGGAGCACGCAACGAACGGACCGACGATGTACACAGGCACGCACTCACCAAAAAGGAACCGAGGAGAAGAATATTCCGATGGTTGAGACGGACGAACGAAAGAATGAGACCAACAACGCAACCAGAAATCAAGACACAGACGCCGACAGACGGACGGACACTCGCCGCCGGATGGATGGCGGGGCGGTGCTGGCCTGGGCTGGAGAGTGAGGAGAGACTAACAACGCATCAACAATTCCAAGAATATCCCGCGGCACATTTCCCTCCGTCAGCCAAAGTCAGCACGCCAACCAAAAGCCGAGCGCCAAATAGGAGCTTTCGCTGGTTATCAGTCTTCGTGTCCCAGACTACGAGCCCTTCCTGCTCTTGTGGTCGACCTTCGACCTGGTCGTGTGGAGAAATGAAATCAATCTCCTCTACGTCTACTGCATGTTGTCGCATTTTCCAGTCACTGCATGCTCTGTCGGTTTTGACCGCCCTCCCACATCAGCAAGCCAGCATCTCCAGTGAGATGTATTCTGCAACAAGCTATACTGTAGTGAATACCTCTGACCTCCTTCCTGCGGCCTGCAGTCAAGAGTTAGATTTTGTGCCCTTGGCTACAACGTACTCCATGTCATGTGCTTTCTCTGTCTTGACTAGCAGTTTTCTGGATCAGGTTTGTCTTTTTTCCTTACGCTGTCCAGCATGCTGCTCCGACATTCAAGATTTCTTCTTCAAGGAGTTTAGTGCCGTACAGTTGTGAAAAGAATTAGCCCAAACTGTTTTTTTTGCCTGAACCTCGATTTATCTTTGGTTGTCTCTTTCCATTTCGATGATGGATTTCTCTGGAAGTTGCTCTACATAACAGTGAACGTTGATGCTGGTTGTTGTTCCATTGTACTGAAATTTTCTTCCACTATTTATGCAGTGGACAGGTTGACAAAATATATATTTGATGGAAACACTACAGTATGTATATATAAGTAACTAACTATATGGATGATGATGTCTGAATCTCAATGAAGTTCATTAAATTTGTCAAAAAAATCCAAATCTTTTTAAACAACTGCATCCTCCATATTGAACAGCAGGGCCTCCTACCATACTAGAAAGTAAATCAAAGAAAAAACTCGATTTTTACAATATGAAAACATGTGTTTACTTTGCTTTAACTTAGCGACAAACCTCAAGATTGCTGTATCAAAGGTTTTTACCTGAAAATTTCTTTCAGTTCATTTAGGAAATGCTCAATCATTATTATCAATATATGTTGATCAACACATTGATGATGTTACATGTTTTAAAAAATTATCTATGTTGCAAACCCTTAATTACTTTTATTCAACTATGATCAATTCATTCGATGATATCAAAACATGATGACATATCATACATCTACACTCAAATTGTTACAGAAGTACATAAACAAATAATGTATTTACATATATTCTTCAATACTAATATTTTAATCTTGAATTATCATGTATCTAAATTTTATTTCTAAATGAGATTTCTTTTTATGAGCATTTAATATGAGTTTCTATCTTTCATATAAGATTTACACAACACAAATGGCCATAATTTACATATAGAAAATTCATTTAGAATTTCATATGAGCTATTGAAATTCATATATAAAATTTTATTTTGAAAGTATTCATATCAAAGTAATAATAATAATTGATTATGATAATTTTAAATCATGACGATTGTCATTGTGAATTTTTTTTATCAACATCAAATATTTTCAAAGAAATTAAATAATTTGTGGAATGAGTCTTTAAAAAATGTTAACTAGTTTGCAAGACATTTGATTAATATTATTCATATGCATGGGAATTTTCAAAAATCATTTTATTATTAAAAAATTGCAATCACCTTCAAATCATGTCAATTGAACTTGTATGGTACATTTTACTTAACCTATAGATACCATAATTCATCATTTTATATAAAGATATGCCTGTAATTGTGAAATGTTATTAGTGTAAATTAACATTGATTATGCAAATATCACATATTATTATTGAATTTAATTTATCAATTTGATGATCAATTATGATTAAATTATTAAATTCCAATTATATTTAAACATGATTTGATTATATATTATAAGATATTATTCAAATTTTTTTATCGTGGCAAAAAATGCAACAATTATGAAAAATTTTATCCATCATCACCATCAACTTTAATTGAGATTGTTTCAAACATCATTAACAGTTCAAAAATAATATTTCAAATTAAAAAAATATTCTATGAATCAATTGATTACTTTAAAAAGATTCACTTGTATCAATATATACATTTTATAAGTAATATATTTTAAATAATATTTATTTAGATTTGACTTTTTTTCAAAATAGTTGCACTTGAAAGATAACTCATTTTTATTAATAATCGTTAAAGTAAAGAATAAAAAAATACATCTTTAAATTTTTTTAAGAATTTGATTAAATTATGTATATTAATTTAATCACTTTGATTCAAAAAATATTCTTCTGTTAAAATTTCTATCAATAATTTTAATTAAAAGTTTTTATAAAATTATTTGATTGCAATTTGAATTTTTTTTATAAAAAATTAAAAAAATTAAATTTTTTTCTAACTTTTGCGTAATGTTTAATATGATCTTTGTTTAAAAAATTTATTAACTTTACTTATCTTGATATTTCTTTAAAAATATATCAATTTCATCAATTATTTCAAAATATATTCATAGATAAATTGAAAATGTGTCAAAAATATAAAGTTTTGAAAAGCTTATTGTTAATTACATTTTGCATTCATATTGTTTCACATTATTTAAAGTAAAAAGTGCTTTAAATTCTATTATAGCTTTAATTAGATGATAATTAATTTCAAGAATTATTTATAAAGATTTTTTGAAGATGGAGCAATTTTAATACTAATTTATTCAAAATGAATTTAAATAAATATTTTGAATTTTTGTTAACTTGAATTATTTTGAAACTTTTGTAATGACAAAGTATAAGCAACCGCATTCCAAACACATACCAACACTGCGGTTCATCCGATCTTGGGCTACGTTCACGAGAACAACAAGTGTTTTACTCCAAAGTGGTTACAAGTGCATTCTGTTGTTCTGTCTAGACTTTTCTCGTTCCCATATATTTATACTTGTGTCAATGATTCTAAATTTAGAGTTTTCCAACTTTAGATCCTAAATCCTATATAGAGAGAGTGCTAACTCTAGCCCTACTCAAGACTTGAGTTAATCATAATTATAACTCGTTCTTCTTCAATTTCTTAAATCAAATGCGTTTGTTTATACTTTCTCATTACAAATGGTATCTTCATATTTTTGAATTTTGAAATCACTTTTAGTTCAATTTGCTTCTGTTTAGCCAACATTCTGCTTTTATATATCATTTTTCGATTTTAGAAAGAACAACTGTCTGTTTTCAAGAAATTAAATATTTAGAGTTCATTTTCTGATTTCTTGAAATAAAATCTACTTTTCTAAAAAAAAATTCTACAAATTCAGAGTTCAATTTTCAAAATTCTTTTCTCAGATTTTTGAAATTTCACCTTCAGATTTTTGAAATTCTTCATCTAATTTGTGCTTTTGATCTTGAAAAAAATAGATTGCTCAAAATGTTTAGTATGTCAAAAACTTGCTATCTTTTGATTTCAAAAAATCAAATAGGTAAAAATCTGATGTCATAAGCATTTATCAGATTTAGATACTTTCCATATCAGATTTGGATATCGGAAATAAAGAATCTCATATCTATCTAACATTGTTACCTCACTATGTAGAGCGTAGATTTTAGCAAGAGCTTGTTGTAGACAACACCATAGACATTGTGCTCACATTGATCCGATCTTCTTTTATCTCCCATATTGATTGAACTTGAAAATTTTGACTTGCTTTTGGACAAGTATTGACTTTGTGACAATGTGATTGAACATATTGTCACAAATTGCTTTTTGTCATCAATGGCTCTTTTCGGCTTTGTAACCAATTGTAATGACAAAATATAAACAACCGCACTTGATTTTAAAAATTGAAAAAAAATCAAACGGTTCTTACTAACTCAAGTCTCAAGCAAGACTAGAGTTAGCTACAGCTCAGTATATGGTTTTGGCTTTAGGGTTGAAAAACACTAAAATCAGAATGGTAGAGTTAGGTTTAAATACAAGAACACGCAACATGTCTAGACGAAACAACAGAACAAACTTGTAAGACCTTTGGAGTAAAGTATTTGTTGTTTCTGTGAACGTACTCCAAGATCGGATGAATCTTGTATCTAGTTGTGTTGGTGTGTGTTTGGAGTACGGTTGCTTATCTTTTATCATTACAACTTTGAGGTAGAGAGATTATTAGCTGTGTTAAATTCATTTTACTATGTAAATGATATTGTCTTGCAACTTAAAAAACAAACTTTAGAATTTTTTTCTTCACATTTGATTATTTTTATAACTCGAAATATCACATTTTTTATTTTCAAAACCCATTTTAATCAAAAAATAATAATTTCATGTAGTTTTTATTATCTCCTTGAAAACAAAGAAACTTTATATGTTCATATATACATATATTTAAAAATAAATTTTTCTATATCCATATACCCATTGGAAGTCATACAAAAATTGCGCATTCACATTGAACGCAAAAATCTTATCTCAAATTATTTTATTCAATTGAATTTTAACAATATTGCTCAATTTTATGAATATTAGCAAAAAAAGTAATTATGATATAAAATTATTTAAATTTTTTTCCCAAAATCTAAATGTTATTTATTATTATGATATAAAAGTTTGATTTTTTAAAAATAATTTAAAGTAAGTTTTAAAGATGCAAGTTATAAGCTCTTGGATTTTTTTCCACAAAATTTGGAGGTTATCATGAAGATCACTAACTGTGAAAAAAAACATTAATGTATTGAAATGAAATAAATTCAAACAAACAAATATATACTCAAAATGAATGAAGGTTAACCAACTATACGATTGGAAAACATGTCTTTATCATGAATCAGTATTTGTGGATCTTTGAAAATCTGCTACTGAGGTTGTGCTTCAATTCATATAAACACTCACACTTTTTGATATTTTGAAATTTCATATTTTATTGTGTATTTTTTTTATCTTTAAACTCATCAAATTTAAAGATTTATATAGTTGAATTAAATTTTATTTTTTTTCAAATTCATCAAAGATACTTACATATACTTTATATTTCTCCAAATGTTTAAATCCATTACTTCTTACAACTTCTTTGTTTATAGTTTTTTCTTGCAGGTCATTTCAATTGTATCTGATATTGGTTTAGTCTTGGCATCAGACAATTTCAAAATATTGCTAGTTTTTGTATGCCTTTTATTTTACAATAATATTAAAAAATATTCAGAACATCCATTACTTGGCAATGTCAAAATCGACACCATCAAATTATATCATTATACTTGGCAGTGTCAAACTTGGTACTGCGAATATTCATGATTGTAATTTTGCTTTGTACAAATTTCGTTTCAAACGCAAAGACAGTACTTTGTGCTCAACGCTTCATTACTTTCTCAATAAAAAATAACAGATTCCCACATGCTTTCCACTAACTGCTTTATAAATCTTGTGCTCCGCTCCTTGATAGTTTATACTATTTAGTTCACCATGTATCTGCAGAACTGCAAAACTCGACGTATTTTCACATTTTCTTCTAGACCATGTCTCCGCCTTTATCTGGAGAATTGTTATGCTAGCATAGAAACTTAATACGAAGGACTTTGTGTAATCGATCATATTTTTCAAATTGTTGTTTATCCAGAAAGTAAGCTTATGGAATTTCGAATGGAAATTGAAATACCTTATTGTCCTGGTGTTACTTCCACAAGATTGTTTCAAAGGTTGAAAAACATGTGATCCTTGCAGACAAAACCGAGAAAATTTTTTGGTGAAGACATGGCTCTTCAAGATATATCTAATTAAATCGTGTCCTTACATGAAGTTATGTGATTGTTTGAACCTTTACTGGAATGAGCTGTAATCTGTTACCCGTGAAATCAAGTTCAGCCTATCGTACTTCAGCTAATGGCGAGCTTCGTTTGATTGTTTGAAACTCTAAAGAGTAAAAAAAAAGCCTCTCAAAATGAAAGGACGGAAGTTGCAGTAAAGCCGAATATATGGACGAAGTCGGAGCAGTTCAAGATAATCTCTTGATACAAGCCGACATAACCACGAGAAGCCAGCTCAAGAATTATGTACATGTCCTCTCATGGTTTCTTCCAGTGTGAATAAAGACTGACCTGTTTGATGGACTACGGCTAGACCACCCCAGTGACGTCTTCTCTAATCCAAGTAAGAAATTATGTGCCGCAACCCTTTCAAAGTAGTCTTTGTTGTGTTCTGGCAGTAACAGTCTGATAATGCATCACCCTTTCTTCTTTCCATTTTATATCTCGACTGGACGCTTCAATCTTGATTCATGGAGCTTCCTGCTGCGTGTTTTCAGCTTGTCCACTGTATCCGTAAACTTATAAACACCTGGTTTGTACTCTATGTATAGTTTGCACGTTGATGCATCCGTGCGTGATATGGGACAAACTTCCATGTAGGCGGCTTGAGATCAATCCAGGCTCACTAAAAGCTTGAATTTGATTTTAGACTGTAAAGAGCCCACATAGTTGATGTGTCAAAGTGACTATATTTCTGTAAGTGAGGTTGGCGTAACAAAGAGGGACAAGATGGTTCTTGTAGATCACGTATTGGTTTGAAACAGTGATGTTGAGTGGTCTGATTCTAGAGTACAGATCTAACAACTAATGAATGGAAATGACCACTAAGATTTGCCGGGCAGCCAAACTTGGAGACTGCTGATTATCGACTGGCCATGTTGAATGTGGTGGTCCTGCAAAAACTAGGAGGCTCCGCAGGGTTATTGGGATCGTGGGACCTTTCCAGCGCAATGGCCTCCGTCAGACCACGGACAACTTGGGTCATGTCCGGCCTCTTACTACCTTCTCTGTTTGCACTCGAGAAGGCTATATCAGCCACCCTCCACATAGACTCCGGATTGAAGTCCATCACCTTCAGCGCCGGATCAGCAATACTCAAAATGTTTCCCATTGACAAAGCCTCCCTGACCTGTTGAATAAAGAAGAGGAATAGCACGATGCAGTCAGGGGCTGTTTCGTGTGGAGCCTGCTCATGGAAGAGTAGGTAGGTTGAAGCAGAATTCCAGTTTGATTATCAAGATTAGTTTTGGCGTGATTTGGTCTCAAAACTCTTCAGTTCAAGTGCAAACAACGATCTGAATCACGACCAAAGATATCTCTGCAAATTACCATCACGGAGATGTTGAACCTGGTGCCGTCTTTGTTTTGTCCATAAGGACGACATCCTGCAATAAGCTCCATGAGGACAATACCAAAGCTGTATACGTCGCTCTTGGTACTCAGCCTCTGGCTCAATATGTACCTTCAAATTGTAAGAAAAACAGGATAAGATTCAGATTGCAACAAGTGCTTGCAGCGGAGAACGTTGACAGCGGATCAACCAGGCCCCTTCTGCAATGTAGTGAGGCAGAATATACTGAGTTACGTAAAAATGTCAAATTCATGTTTAGCGAATATTGGTAAATTGAAGCGATTCTCTTACTCAGGATCAACGTAGCCTGGCGTGCCTCTGACTAGAGTCGAGAAAGCATTTGTACCGTCATTATCAGATGTCGCTTTGGAAATTCCAAAATCAGCAACCTTGGCCACAAAATTGCTGTCAATGAGTATGTTGTTACTTTTGACATCGCGGTGAATGATTGTCGGATTGCAGCCTGTGTGCAAGTACTCCAACCCTGCAATCCAAAGCAAATTAGATAAGCTCTCTTAATCTCTCACAGCATTCATCCACACAACTTGATGCCTAAGGTTACGCTTCTCCGAATGACGTCGATTAGATTCAGTGCCTTGACTAGACATAACTCTGGTAAAATATCTGAGATGGACCCAATTTAACTTCCAGGTATCTGTAATAGAAAGGCCTGTATTTACAGTAAGCATTTTGTACCTTTTGCCGCATTCAGAGCAATATCAAGACGGGTCGGCCAGTCCAGAGGATGTTTTTCCGCTTCCTTTCCTGCCGCAGGCATAAATTCGAATACGTTCAAACTCAGTAGTTATGTTCCAAAGTACGGACTTCTGCTCTCGCCCCGTCTTTTTCAGAAAAGTTCGTGTGGTATATTCTTTCTCTGATGTTTCATTTTCAAAATATTTAGGCCTAATTTTAACCTTTTGAAAGATTAAAAGGAACGACGAATAAGGATAATTCTGATGATTGCAATTTGGTTTCTTCAGTCCCTCTTCGCAAGCCTTGATCGAAAACTTAGACCAATGGAACCTGGAGTTGGCCTAGACACATACCGCAGAGGAGATCACTCAAAGTGCCTCTCGCCTGGTACTCGTAGACCAGAAATCTTTCGTCTCCGCACTCACAGAAGCAAAGTAGAGTCACGAGATTTCTGTGATGAACCCTCGTGAGTAGACCGACCTGCGCAGACAAAAATCCCAGTACTTATGAGCTTCAACTACAAATCCAAGACAGGATGAAGCATTCTGGCAGTCGAAAACAAATTGGATGCTCGATACCTTACTAAGTCATGCACTCGATGATATATACTAACCTCGTTCACGAATTCCTGTGTCCCTTGATCAAGAATTTTGTTCACCTTAACTGCTACTTCTTTCCCGTTTGCAAGAACTCCCCAGAAAACAGGACCATACCCTCCTTCTCCAATTTGTCTAGAGAAATTATTGGTAGCAGTAACGATCTCCTGTTTTGAAATGTAACCTGCAGCTTGGCTCAAAGTTGCATTTGTATAGTTCTCCACAGGTTGCGGAAAAGGAGAAGGTGTTGTATTTTGGAAGTCATCTGATCGTGATGGTGAGACGCTGAGATTTTCTGCATGGACCAATCACTATAATCAATAATTGTGCTTCCAAGGCCTATCCTAGTGCTTTATGCAACAACTTTATTGCAGTTATTAAACGGACAAGCGGCTCCAGTGCCAACTTGGAAATTCCCGGTCTTGACTTGTAGACGGAATCTGAAACTCTTGGAGTCAAGAAAGAAAGCATCAGGAAACTAACCGTTAGCTGCTTTAGCTCCAGCTTGCTTATAGTCAACGACTGGAAGAGAAATGGTTCGTGATTTACGAGATCTTAGGTAGAAGCATGTGATGAAGAGACCACCTAAAAGTCCAAGTACAACAAGTCCGCCTATGACGGCACCAATTATTAGATTCATACCACCAGATTGCTCACTTCCTGCAGATCTTGGAGGATCCGCTTGTGCGATACATCCCGCTGTGTCACAAAGGTCACCCGGCTCGCAAAGAGATGGATTCCCAGACCAGCTGTAGAATTAGAAGAAAGGAACTCGTCAAATCATTGAAAGTTCATCCGATTCGAGAGTATTGGAGAGTTCCGTGAAGGGCAGTCATCAGCTGTGCTGATGACGTCGAATTGTTTTATGCAGAACAATAACAAATGAAGAAAAACTGTAAATATGGTTATCGATAGACCAGGTGACTTAAGAAGCAAGGAAGAAAGTCGTTCACTCGTTTTTCTTTTCACTCTCTCTTTGAATGATCACACTGAGTAAAAACATCAATTTGCAAGTTTGTCTGAATTGATCAAAGTTACTGCTACTGATAACTGACGTGTTGACGACCTCCTCCTCCTGTTCTATATCGTAATAATCCTTTGAGACTGTTAAATACCACTGAACTAGAAGATTTTCATCGCCTGCTTTCATCTGAGTAGCTAGGGAAGCAAACTTTAAGTTTAGAGAAAGCTTCATCAGAAGGAACTTTTTCCTGGAACGCTTTGTGGTGCTCATATCTAGACCTGGTTCTATGGGAAACAATTTGCAAACGTAAAACTTCAGCATATCTAAGTTTGGCTTTGTTGCTCAGTGTTCTCGAGTTCTACATACCTGAAGTCAGACCTCTCTGGTAGTAGACCGTCTGGGATTCGTCCACAGAAGCTATTATTATCCAAAGACCTGGACATACAAAAACAATAACAAACCTCAGTCATCCTCATTTCTCTATTTACACTTCATTTCAAACAGTTAACAGAAGGGTGATCATACATACAGCGTCAGGAGGCTACTTATCGAGGCCAACGCGTTTGGAATCGGCCCGCCGATTTTGTTGTTCGACAGATCTCTGCCAATCAAGAACACAGTCTCGTCATAAGCAGATTCCTTCATTGTGATTGCTTTGTATGACTTGAGAAGTTTCGAATAGTTTGTCAATCTCAATGAATATCTACAGACTGATTCAAACTTTCATGTCAGGTGGATAGACGGAATTTTCTCAAATTCCAGGATAGATGTGAGCGAGTGTTCACAATTTATGCATCAGACTTCAAGGAACTCACAAATATTTAAGCGCCGTTAGGTCCTTGATTGTGCTAGGTATGAATCCGCTGATGCCTCTCGCCTTTAGATCACTGGAAGAGGATTCAAGCAGTTTCGTCAGCAACCTAGCCAACTTCAAACATTGCTGTCCCGTTGTTCCCAAGTTCTCCGATTATTTGCCATAACTGTATCGGAAAGTAATGAAGAAATTATTGAGCCCAACAGCCTTGGGTGTAAAACGGATACACAAACTTCAGAAACTAACTGGTGCTTCTTGTTAGATGGTCTCAGCATGCTTTTGAAAGAGTCTAGCCCCAGCCGAACGAGGGAATGGAAAGTGAACAGACTCCTTGTGGTAGTGACTTACATCAGTTCCACTCTCTGTGTTGTAGCATTGCAGTTCACTCCCAGCCAGGGTGGAGAATCGCATGGAGCACCAAACCATTTGCCCGTCATTTGAAACGCAGTGCGTATACTTCTCAGAGCTGCGACTGAGTAGACAGGTCAGTTGTAGAGGATCATCAGAATATCATTCTACATGTTCAAAGCATTTGGTTTTTCACATGCATTTGAAGACGTGAAAAAGTGTCACGTTATAACCATATATAACTTGTGATGTGTGTCAACCAACATGCTGAACTCTACTCTTAGCACTGGTCTGTCCATGACCCCTCTGGCTCTACCTTAAGAATATCAACGCTTGAGTGCTCTTACTCATGTTCTCGGCAATCACTCAAAACCATTCTACTCTATCTTCTGTGCCGTGCCGTCCTCACTGGAGGGTACAAGTTTTCGTCATTCCATGAAAAGGAAATCAAAATTTTAACGCCCTTGAAAACAAGATGAAAACACCCGTCAGTGTATCGTGGGTGTTTCATCTTATTTGACTAGAATTACACTGTACGGAAAGTTGTATTTCGTGTGTACTCAACAAAGTGTGACAAGCTATAAGACATTTAAGACTCTGAAAGAGTTACGTTGGGAGTTGAACATAGGTTAGAGCGCAGATGGACGTGAAGCTGTACAGTAAGTAACTCAATGTGCAATGGAGTTCTTTACTTGAAGAGTAAACCAGGTAGAGTAAGAAAAATACCATCTCCGTCCGGGCTGCCTGTTTCTGCTTATAACACAAAATCAACACACGAGCAGTTTCAAAGATCAGATCTTCATGAAGGGATCCTAAGCTTCATTTTGCTGAATCCAAGATACATGAATTTGGCCCTTGTCATGTTGATCACAAATACTTCACCAACTTTGCCTTCAAAGACACGGACAGCGTCTAAATATTAGATCAATCACAGCACATATCATCCCTTGCCCGGTCATAACCTTTCACAGATACAAAAATGTTGAAAAGAGGGGAAAAATAACACTACCAGACTGTCCAGAACTCGGAAGACAGCACGATGACAGCAGCAGAAGGGCTAATTGCGTGATCCATGATGAGGTTGATAAACCTCTTCTCTTCATAATAAAACTTTCAAGAATGATTTCTTGACGCCAAGCTCAACCTACAATGAGTCTCAAATCCGACGCCTGTATGCACGCAGAGGCAGGCAGTTGGGAAGTTCCAGATACACTCCGATAGACATCTAACAGCACAAACTGCACTTCATCGAAGGTGACCCGATCGACAGTATCGGATTCTTTCCTGCCAACATTTTCGACTAACATAGATGTAGGCCTATATAAGTTCAAAATCGAGGTACAAAGTCGACAGGTTTGTCGACTTTGTGAACGTATCTAAACTTCTCAACCGGTGAACCAAAATGTGGAGATCTTCATAATCTCTTCTTGTAGATCCCTGGGAGATTTTCTACAAAGGGAGTCCAGGCTCGGGCCGAATCCGGTCCGCTACGATATTTCTAAATCTATCCTAAATCTATTTACTGCGTACTGCCGATATTAGTTTCGAACGAGGTTCCCCGGGGCAACGACTTCCTGTGCTCAAATCACAGGAAAGACCCTGGAATTCTCTAAAGACTGAAGGTCCTTTCCCAGGTTCTATACTAGATCTGAAGGTGCTTGATCGAAGCATAATAGATGGTGAGAAGGTCAACCCATGATTTGAGAAGATCAAGATCTTGACTTATTGTACAGATGCCTCTTGCAGCCATCTCAGGGTCTCAGCCTGCTGTCAGGAATCATCCACAAGTGCATCTTGACGAAGACTTTCTGAACCTTGTTTTCTATGTATTACCTTATTTAGAGCTTTATGTCCTACTGAACGATGCAGATATTGCACTAGAAGCATTGCGGAGCTCTGTACTTTGGTGTGAAAGTTTTAACCTTCGAGTCTTCCGCATCTGTGCAAGTAGCCGCGTCCACTCAGTCAAAGCATCACGTAGAACTTGTGCAACCAAGTAAGCAGCTCATAGTTCATCGTCTAACAGCAAGATACAGCAAGCTCTTTGTAGATCTAGTTGTGCAGGAATCTACCACGACACTACTTTTTCCTATCATTGAGGAGGATTCAGGGGATGTTAAGGTATCAGATCGCAAGGGACATGGAACCTATATCCTTCCTCCATGAGCCTAAAATCCAGCAATTTCCAAAGAAAAAGTAGAGCGGTACCACTGCCCCACGTCTCGAACAAGCCATATACAAATATTTGTTGGAACAATTCTCGTTATATCTACCGGTATTTTTTTCATGACCTTCAGCGCAGACGAATAGTAGGAAAATTTAGAACGCCAGAGTGAACGACCGAATTATTTGTCATCTGTTGTATTTCAGAAGGTTTGCTGTAACAGACATAATTTCAATCCAACGGTGAATCTTTGTGGGAGCACCATGCCCAAGCCCACTTGAACAGGTTACTGGACGAGCGTTGGGATAATGCTTTACCAAGGGGCAAAGTCTCCCACAGACAACGCCGTGATTAGTTTGGCCTTTGGCTCTCGACATGCCTTCCGAGTTTTCTTCTTAGCACCAGTGGAAGATTCGATCCTCCCTGGCCTCCAGAGGACCGGTTTCTGTGGCTTCCGATTGCATGAAGTTTACCCACTGGTCTGAGAACAATCCCTCTCATCCTATCCACTGTATTGATAATTGACCTTTCTCTACGTGTCAAATCCAATTAAATACATGCACGAGTTACGTGATTGTTTGAACCTTCGAGGTGCAGTGTCTGTTGTGGCCACAAACGATATCGAAATATGTTAGCTAAACCTTAGGGTTCAGATCACCATCAATGGCGGTTTCTGGCAATGGCAGGGAATGAACTATTCAACTTCAGTGCGATTTCTTTTTGTCCTGTAGGACATCGTACAGTGCTCCTTGACTACGCTGTTCCTGTTCAGAAGTCAGATGACTGCGGATAGTTTTTCTCTCCATCCCGGACATTGTGGGGGCGAACAAACTCAAACTCGTGGAGATTGTAATATCGTTTTAAAGTCGAGAATGAAACGAAGCCAGCTGATAATATGAACTGTACGGACCGCTGCAAACTTAAGCCTCCCGCCTACAATGATCATTGTAGATACTATTTAGCACCTGACCTTGTGAACTTGCCGACTAGTGTTTCATCGTTGCACGCTGTCCAGTTCGATTGCTTGAAGTGGGCTTGATTTTATAACATCAATCGGATCACAAGTTTGGGTTTCTAAAATGCTGAATTTTAAAGCACTTCATTGCCCGTTTTTTACAGAAACTTCATTTTACTTGGGACAGCTCAGAATGTACTAAATACCTTATTGGAACCTGAGGGCTGGAAATTTAGAGAAACGATGCGTATCTACAGAGCAATCAGCCCAAGGTCAAACTTAGTTTCAAGTTGATCACGGTCGCGGTCGCGGTCTTCGGAAGAAATTCATTGGTAATGTAGCTGGAATAAGTGACAGCTGACTTTTTTCTAGCTATAAACTGCAGTTGAAAGCACATGCGGAGGTTGAACGAGAATTTGTCGAGAGTCTTCAACTTCAGCAGCGTATTCGTCTGCAACCAAATATTATCACATCATCCAGTTTAGACTGTGTGCACCAAGATACGTTTCAGATCCAGAAATTTCCAATCCAAGACGTTTCAAAGCAGTTTGTTTCACATAGGAGGAATCAAATAGCATGGTAATCGAATCTTGCGAAAGTTGTTCTATCGAGAAATCCAGTTCAGACCCCAAGCTTAAGTAGAACATAAAATTTCTGAACAGTAGAGAACGTTCGAACTTGGGGTTGGAGAACTTGTGAAGTTCATCCTCCAGCCACAGTGGAAAGTCGGTGACCGCTTTTCAGCTCAATGTACGAAATTATGTAATGCAACTGTGAGCGGTAGTCTTCTGCTACTCTCGATAACTGTCTGTGAGATCACATGTGTTCGTTGCCCCCGCAAAGGCGCGTATCTGTAAACTTCGTGCCGAAACTACTTGTAGGTAGATAGTGGTGGTTACGGAACGGTGTCGGCAAGTAGTCAAAGAAATTACCCGAATGGAGTCAAATTTTGGACCAATTTCTGGAAACATAACAAGAGGACAACACGATGGGCCACTTGACTTGAGTGAAAATTATAGAGAAGAGTTTCCATCAAATTTTCGTCCATGCTTTGCAAATGCCCTCACAGGTGACATGTGAACGATTCGTGTTACTGAACAAGCAGAGACATCGACAGCTTTCAGCTTCTAATCTGATATCCCATCTTCAACTAATTTTGTATACCGTCTTCCAAGCATACTGCCCTTCTGCTGTTCATGCATATTGGAGCAATGTCAGAAAATCGGATTCCTGGTTCACAACTTGGTGCCAACGGTGTTCGGAAGCAAGGTTAAAAGCTATCGAGGAAGGTTTATGACCTAATTTGTTCTCCTGTCAGCTTTGTTTAGACCTTTGTCACCTTTGATTATAGTATCCTGATACAGGAGAAAGACTGCAGTCCTGTGTCTAAATGTATTGTGGCCCAATTAAGTCATATGGAACCAGGCACCCGGGTGTGAAAATTATCCCTCAGTCTCACACACATGATACTATAGAGGTCGGCAGTGAAGGTCTTTCATGGATGGATGGGGTTTCATATTTTCTGCATTGCTACGGTTATTAGTGTATCCTCGGACGATGCTTCCAAATATACTAATTGCGTGCTTCGGAAACTGGCAATTCTGAGGTCTCAAAGGAGAAATGTCAAACCAGTCATCGGGGCAGTGACTATAGGATCCGATGGCGGTATGTCTCCAAAGTGACGAGGGCCGATAGACTTCGGCGCTTAAATCTTATCGGATTTGCACGAGATGCTTTACTTTCTGTACCGTGAACTGTAGTCAACCACCGCCCGATTGGTGTAAGTGTATAAGCACTTCACACTAGACAGTCCCCACTCTCACCCCTGCATGCAGCTTTATAACTTCAGAAACAATACATCGGTGGAAAGGGCGGCGGACCGACATATGACACCCATCGAGACGGTCGATCTGACACCAATTTTATAGATGCACAACAGTTATATAATCAGTGATCTGACTGTCTCAAGATCAAGGCGCTCTTGTTTTGCTGTGTATGGTGAGTGCCACATGGTTCTTGCAGATCGCAAAATGGAACTTGCCTGAACCTTGCATGATGCCTTGAAATTTTTGCTCCACGCCTGTTTAGTGTAGAGCTACATGGGTCTTTACAATGCACTCTTCCTCTCTATTTAGATCTACCTAAACCAGTAATTGAGGTTTGAGAATCAATACCCATGGATTCTACAAGTGCCGCTGCGCGTGGTGAAAATTAAAGTTTACACACCACCTACTGGACTCTTGAATGATGTTTAAATTTTTCATGATATTTCTTAATTAGAAGACGATTAAAAACTCTACATCAGATCAGAAAGGTTACGTGGTAAGAGATATTCAGAGCTGGGATCAGTTTGCATGAAAAATGCCTGCATTTAAATGCTAAGTCAACCTGCTGTTACTCAGTAGCACGAAGTTGTAAACTGGTTTTGCTCTGGAGAACGATCTACCTGTTCATGTTGTGGTTATGTACTGTCATTGCCCTACGGTCATAGCTCTTCGCGCCATATGCCCTTAAATCCAGAGAGATTTGCTTGATGGGACCCATGCGGAAAGTAATTTGCTTGATGTGACCCCTCAGGTTTAGTTTTACCCGATGGGACCCCAACGAAGGTGTGCCGTCGGACATAGTTCTTGTAACTACGATTACTACTAGTTACAATGCGAGAATTACAATCAGAGATCAATCCATGATTATAATTTCTGATGGATTATCACGGGGACAAAAATCGATTTTGCTCGAAGTGCAATTTGTTGTGCTTCAATTCTTCCGATCGTAAAGATTCACGGATTTCTCTGTTGCATCCCACCTGTACATTCCTTACGTAACCCTGCGTGGTTCGAGCTCAAGTCTCACGATCAACCATTTGTGGCGAACAAATAAACTCCGGATGAACATTTCTTTGCTCGTCTCCTTGGAGAGTGTCCGGATATAGAATGACAACATAAAAACAAGTGAGTGTGATGGAGTGCGAAGTCCACTCTGTCTGCGGTGGACTCGTTGCACTCTCTCTAGTTGTTATTAGAACATGGATAACGGTGCATCGTTCATGGGGTCCCATCAGGTAAAATGAAACCTGAGGGGTCCCATCAAGCAAATCTCTCCTTAAATCCATGGCAAATATACCGACATGTATCATGTACTAGCATTTCTAATGAGGGAGTATTTCACAGGCCTCCGCTGTACCGAGCTTCTCAAGTACTGTAATCTGATTAAGTAAATAAAGTTCGAATTTGTGTCGGACTTCAGCTTGAACATGATAGTTGATGTCTTGCGCGGAGATAACGGTGCGGTACATGAGGTACAAAGAGAGGTCATTTCCAGGGGTTTCTTTATTTCCGCTTTTACTGTGGGATGTTCCTTATGCAGAAGAAACAAATCATGTGGCACGAAAGGAGTCAACAAATCTGCTGTCACAACTGCTGGCAGCTGAAGAAACTGCCTGGCACCAGTTCTCAAGCTTGGCCTAGCCCGTCCTTGACATGATGTAACAACAAGTCGTGAAGTCGTACTTAACGGAGCAGAGGCCATCAGGTTCGCATTTTTCTAATCTCTTTGTCACATATGGAATATTGGGGTAATATTCAATGTCCGGTCATGAACTTTTTGGCGTAGCTACCTTCCTCAACTTTCAGCTATGATACTTTCCTTTCGGTTAGGGAGGTGACGATGGCCCCCTAAACGAAACCATGCAAAAACATCTACGCATCAAAAGCTTTTATGAGGAAAAGAGAGAATGTGATATCCCAGACTTCCGGCAAGCCTGAAGCTGTAAAGAACAGGTTCCTGTTGGAAGATACGCATACTGCTGCAACAATCAGCGCCTACACATTCTCTTATATAACGGGATTTCTGGGTTCCAGATTGCCAGCATCAGTGTCCATATACTCAAAAGACTTAGGATTCAGAGAACCTCCAGTCTAACTGTATATGAAGTCTTGTGGAATGGGAATTTGCTTCATCTAATTTCAGGCTTCTCAGAATTTACTTCCCAGCCATCAGACCAATTTCATTTTCTTTAAAAAGATAGACACCCAGGAGCTACGGTAAAAGCGGGCCTGGCAAAATTGTCAGCCATCCTACCATTTTGGACCGATCACATCATAGTATGGTGACTATGACTCAAACTAGTTATCATTTGTTTCTTCATCAATGCTCCCCATGACTACCTCATGTGAAAACCCCAAAATATGTTGTCAAATTCCAAAAGCAGCTTTATGCTTGATTGATCCACTAGCGTATAACACAGACAAGACAAAGACTACTGTCTGCCTCCGATCAGTTATGAGATACTTAAAGTGACCGATATAAATTGTGCCAAGCATGTAGCTTTCCCGTGTATACAGTATCTTTTTCAAGAAAGCCCCGTTGGTGACAGAAAGTCATGACTTTTCACTCATTCTCTGTCTCTTGTGCTTCCCA